TATGTAGGGCCTCACACAGGAATCCATGAGTTAATTACCCTGCAGTTTAGCAGTGAAATGGAGCCGGATGCCATCCAGGGTAGATCGAGGTCCAATCTTCCAGGACCCCCATACCTCTCTTCCAGAAGGAAAACATGAAATAAGTACCATGGTGGAAAGTCCTCGATTATAACCCACATGTGAGCAACTGGGGCCAAGTCATTTCTAAGTCTCATTTTGATGAAGTGGTGGCAACAGCTGTTTAGTGTCCTGCATACTTTTCTCAGGCAGCAGCCCATCTGTCCACCCCCTCCAGAGAGAATTAAAGGGAGAAAATGCTTTATTGACAGAAGAAGACGCAGGCCTTGTTGACATTTTTAAAAATAGGCCAGTTCAGGTGCCACAGGGTAACCCCAGCCCATCTTCCCCAGGATCGTGGGGGGCAGACTGGAGCTTGTGAGGTCCTGCAGAGACGTAGCCTGGGTGGTGCCCATCTTGCTGTTGCTACTGCCAAGTGCCAAATTTGTCCTGACTGAGGGCTGGGCACGCTGCTGGCTGTCTTGTTATTCCTTCTGCTTGTTTCTCTTTGAAAGCAAATTGCCTCCCCGGGCTATTTATGACATGTCTTAGACAGCTGGCCTGGCAGCCTCGAGGGTGGTTCAGGGTTTGCCATGCAGTTAAGAAAACCCCAGAAGGTAAGCTGCTTTATTATAGTAGCTAGGAGTTCAGAAAAGAGTTCTTGCCAAACTCAATTCTTACACATGTCAGCTCCTTTCATCCTCCTCAGAACAAAAGTGAGAGAAACTGAGGCTCAGAAAAGTGAAGTCATTTCCTCAAATCCATGCAGCAATTATGTGGTAGATCCCTGGCCCTTCCTGGTTCCCTACACAAAGCTGTATGGGAGCACAGGACTGGAGGAAGCATCATGGGACCATCCATGAAGTCTTTTATAGGGAACAAACTCAAGCAAGGGACGAACTTGGTTGTGTATCTATGGAGACTGGGTATAGATTTTCCATATTGTTCCTCAGTCAGCTCCAAAAATGACAGATGAGGCTGCAGAAATATGCACGCCAGGAGCGTGGGGAGCACGTTCCTGGGAACAGAGTCTGGAGGAAGGGAGTGAGGCATCTGGACTCTCTCTATTGTGCCAGATGCTGAATCCATCAATGGATGCCTTCAGGAGAGTTTGTAAAAGTGCAGGATCATACTGCTGAGACAAGGATTTGAACAAGAAATACAACACAAACCCAGGTAGCACTATGTATTCTCAGAAGGTTGCGCTTCCACCTGCAGCAGTCATTGGGGTTTACATCTGGTAGCATCCCCCCCAGATCTGCACTCAAACCCTTGGATGGCCAGCCCATTCCCAGCCGCCAGTGGCTCCGGTGTACACCCTACACTGCCCTTGCAAAGACCACACCTGCCTCTCACCAGGGAAGTTAACACACTTTCTGGCCTTGCCACACTGGATAATATCTGTCACTCTCTCCTCAAGCCTGTGCCCCTCTTGTTTTCTGTGACTGCACATGGTAGCAAGCTCCACACTTAGTGGCGTGAAGCAACATGCGCTTCTTATCTCAGGTTCTACAGGTAAGGGAGCCACACACAGCTTACCTCGGTCCTCTACAGAGAAGGCGCCGACTGGAGTCACAGGTCCTGCTAACCGGGAGCTGAATCTGTTTACAGCTCCCTGGAGGACCCCTGGCTGGACCCTGCACCTTGGGAGCTATCAACCTGAGCTCTTCAGTCATCACTGGCTGGTCCCCAAAGCCCACCTTTCTTCCTGGCTACCTGGACCTGGCCGCAGGAGTTTCACTGGGGCGAGCAGACAGAGAACAGCAGAGGAGGCACAGCACAGGCACGGAAGGGACTCTGTCTTGAGCCATGCATTAGCAGGAAGTACCAGGTCCAGCCCACATGAGGGGAGGGCTGAGCCAGGAGGCGGGCTCTGTTGGCTGCCACCTTAGGAGCTGCCCACCACAAAACCACACAGGACCTCTTTACTGAGTACCGGCCCTGATGCTTCCAGGCCCCTGAGGAGGATCAGCCATACTTACCCTAGTATTTACATTTTCCTGCTCGCCTGTCCTTTTTACTGCTCTTAAGGTTGCCCTAAGAGGACTGAGCCATTGTCCTGCCAGTAGACATGAAAAAATCTTAGGTGTCCCTCTCTATTTCATACACACACATTTTCCAGCAATGTAACAAGTTGCTAACTTAGTAAGGCCCCATCTCAAAACACAAAAAATAAAAAAGGGTGAGGGGGTAATTCAGTGCAAAGGTCCTGGATTTAATCACCGGTACTGAAAATGGAGAGGCATGGGACTTGTTGGGTGTAGCATTTGCTTGCCGATACCTGTCTCGTGGTTTTGACTTCATGGGGTTCGCCCTCTGTCAGACCACAAAGGGGTGACGTCATCTCTCCAGCATCCTGTGCTTCTAGGGCTACAGACTGTGTACAGAAGCATTTGTGTCAAGGCTTTTTTCTGTGCTGGCTATTCCTGATGGCATGTGGTTTTGAATGGAAGACTTAAAAGAGATCCCTGCAATGGATCACTCAGTCTTGCCAGTGACCTTAGCCAACACTGATTAAATGTGTACCCTTCCAGGCCACGCCCCCAGCACCCTTAAACGAGGCCATTCCTCCCCATTGCTGAAATCTTTAGTGACCAATTGACAAGCATCATGTCCTCCATTCTCCAAACTCCTTACAAAAGCCTCACTTTCGAGTGTGTGAGAGTTTAGGAGGTGTGTTCTAGATAATTCTAGATAATCTCTGAATCAGAGCACGGATGAGGTCAGGGAGGCTCAAAGAGGCACACGTACTCTTTCCCAATCAGCTAAAGGACACAAACTGAACTGGGACAAGATAAGGATAATGACTACCACTGTTTCCTAGGCTTTTCCTATGTGCCAAGACTTTTACCAGTACCTGCGTGAGCGCTCTGACTTAGTGCTTCTAGGAGCACAGTAATATTGGATGCTATCACTATCCTTGAAATAGAGATGCAAAAAATGACATTCAGGGAATTTAAGAAAATTGACTCTGATCACACAATTAGAGGCAACCCTGGGCTTTATTTTTAGTGTGCATTTTGCTATAATAATATTTTACTGGAGAATTTAATTTCCAAGTATGGGATATTTCAGGGAATGCATTAGGACTATAAACCGATGACTGTGGTCAAGACAAGCTTTTCACTCCGAAGAAAAGCAGCTCATATAAAAATGATTAATCTTACATTAAATTTTGGGTCCATTTGATGGAGAAATCAAGATGAATTTAAAGCCAATCTTGTACGTACTGTTCACTTTGCTGCTATTCAAGCACAGGGAAAATAATGGCAATGCACGAGCTTCTGAAAGTTTTTATTTATGTTTGCGCTGAAAATAATGACGGGAATGAAACTTAGGATTCTGTTTCCCTGGCCTGATTTTTCATCATGCCACTGGAGAGGCAGTTTGGACGTGAGTATTTGTTCTGCAGTGGATGCATGCCCACCTGTTCCCCAAGCTCCCCACATCCCAGCCGCACAGCTCTCGTCTTCCGCCCTCAGTCAGCAGCAGGACTCCAGCCTGGGCTCAGCTGGCTCCCCGGCTGCTGCGGCTGTGTAAGCCGCCTCTCCCAGTGCTCTTCAGTTCACTGGCTGGGCCGCTGAGCTGAACACAAAGCATGAAGGGATTTCGAACCTCAAATGCCAGCATGTCTAAAAGCTGCCGGCCCATGGCTGTGAGGTTAATTGTAGCAGGCTCCTCAGAGTCCTAGCTGGGGCATGAAGCAGGGAGGCTTCCTGAGCCTTCTTCTAGTGGTTTTGAAAGTAGGCTAACAATCAGCATCAGCCAGAATTTCCTACAAGACGCATGTTCCACGGAGCTATCACAGAGCCTCGGATTCAGTCTGTAGGCACAGGCTCAGGACTCTGTTTCCAGAAGCTCCTTGAGGAACCTGACAGCCAGCTGGGAGATGCCCACACTTCTGCAAGTCCCTGCTGCCAAGCAGGACCCTACCTACCTTACAGCCCAAGCTTGCCACCTCTGCTGTTATTGATTCTGAAAATGATGCCCTGTTGCCAGCTGCTGACTCATGAGAAGTAGCTGAAGGATGGCAAGAGGATTTTCTATTTTGTTGGCGAGGTCTCATTTACTTAGCATGTCACTTGTCTAATCCTACTGCCTGTTTCATTTGATTAAACCAAAACATCTTCTTTCCTGGACACTACTATACATTTACATTTCCAACAATAAACACAAGATGGTGGTATCCGTAATCACCTACCATGTGCTTTAGATTTGCTATCTCTAATCTTAGCAACTTGCATGGCACATTGGAAACTGAGGCTCAGAGTGACTCATTAACTTCCCCCCGAATGTACATCTAGAAAACCAAGGCACAAGTTCTAACATCAAGCCCCAAGTTCCTTCCATTCTCTGCAGACAGAATCTAGTATGTAATTTAATTAACCTATTAATGTTTTCATTTCTCCACCTGTGCAAAGAACCAACTCCTAAAGTTGTTGCTTAGATTAAATGACATAATTTATGTGACTCAATTAGCACAGTAATAGTAGACATTTTAATGCTTGTCTGATACACCAGTGCGTCCTCAGTATGTCTTAGAAAAATGCTTGATTCCTCTAAACAAAAGGTTGAAAATTACTGTCAGTGTGGGTTGCAAGCTTCATGGGCCGCTCTGCAATCCTCAGAGTTTATTAGCATGCAGAGATTACCAGAGCTCCCCAATAAAGAATCTCCCAGATAGAATTTTATTAATATTTCATTCTTCTGGGGGGACAAAAGCCTTTGCTGGCAGATTTGAGCAGAATTGCTCCATCAGTCCTGGCCTCTGCTTGTGCTTGCAAAAAGCTCGACCCAAAAGATGAACTTACTGTGGGATTTGCTTTGATACTGGTTGTTAATCCTGTGGCCCGGTTTGACATGGTGTCTTAGCAACACCCTGTCCTTTCCCCCTCTTCATTATTGTGCTTCTAACAACACTTCCTCTCTTTTGCTCTCTCTAGGCCCTGGCTTTCAAGGTCCCTGAGTCTCCCGTATGCGGAGGAGCACAGCCCCTGATGCCCCGCGTACATGTTTATGTTAATAGTGCCGGGAGAACAGGCTGCTCTGGGGCTTCTTCCCAACTGCCACATGAATCAATCAGGACAGAAAGAAGTTACTATTTCCACAGACACTGCTGCTGTAGCGCAGCAAGTTTGGTGAGGCGTGGAGGCGAACCCCTGCCCCAGGACCAGCCTTGCAGGCTGACTCCCTCCCTCCTCCACTGCCCAGTGAGGTTTCGCAACACGAGGACACAAGTTTCAGGGACACAGCATTCCCAAGTCACAAAGGTACTTGAAATCATCCAGTATGCAATCAAAGACAAGCACTGTGTGAAGATCCATGCCAGGGCCTTTTGCGCAGCGGCTCTGCAGCGGCAGTTTGGAAAACAGGCCCCGAACGGTGTTTACAGCCTTCCCTATGTGCCTCCGGTGCAGCCAGAGCTGGGAAGCATGGTAAGCCACACAGCCTCACAGCCTGAGGCATGGAGAACCCAGACTTCCATAGATCCCAACGGGAGCGAGACACGGGACACAGCCTTCCCTCTCAGTCTCGGTGTCACCAGGTTGTCACTGCATTCTGGAGCTTCCCATAGAACTGTGTGTCCAGATCACTTTGAAGATACATGCTTTGTCTGTCTCACCAGGATGCGCTGATTCAGAATCTCTTGATGAACTTACCCTAAGCAAAGGACATTAGTTAGCCTGGTGAAAAGAATACCAGGTTTAGAGTTAGAAAAAGTGAGGCCTGGCAAATCTGGGATCCATTGGATACAAACTGGATTTGACTTGACCCCAAAGTTTCATATCCTGCCAGCTTGGTGCCCAGCTGAAAGGTGGATAAACACTGGAGAGGTGAGATTTTCTGAGAAGCAATGATGTTAGGGCTGCATCCTTGAAGGTCTTGGTTCTTATTTATGGAGGAGGTTCAGTCTCATCGGACTGGGGTTGGTACCAGCAGAGCAGGTTGTCATGAAGCCAGTCAACTTCCTAAGGTCATTGCCTTTTCCTCTCTTGCCCTGTGACCTCTCTTGCACACATCACTTTCCCCTGTTACCTGTGTTCTGCAGTGTGGTATCCTCTGCTCTGTGTGGTGTGCAGTCCTCATCAGATGCATTTGCACCCTCTTAAACATTACCTTCAGAACTACAACCTAAATAAACCATTTCTGTATAAAGCATCCTGCCTCAGATATTTTGTCATAGTAATTCAAAACCAACTCAGAAGCTGTAGCTCTTGGAAACAGTTATGCAATCTCTCAGTTTCTGCTCCTTCACTTGCAGAAGACACAGCTATCAGTTACTCATCTATCAGTTCTCTAATTCAGATGACATTTTATCCACGGGATGTTCTGGCTGAGTTCCCAGCCCAGGGTCGTTACTAACCTGCCCATGATGCATCCTGGGACTCCTGTCTTTCTGTTTTGTGACACTGATCAAGTAGCATGAGGCTTAGTACATGTTTTAGAATGAGCTACCTGCAAAGGTGATTAATAGATAAGCGCTGGATTTTTCACACTCTGTCTGCACCAGGGTTAGGCTCCTGTGAGGTGGGTGGGCTGCCCTGTCCACTGCTACACAGTCTAGTGTGGTGCTGCCCCTCTGTCAATGCGCACTGACCAAACTAATGGCTGAACAAGTAAAGGGGATATATAAAGTAACCAACACTTAGATACGTCAAAATGCTAATTATAATTCTGTTTACAAGGTCAAATCTCTTCCCCAAAGATACAATGATTACAGAACTAAGCTTGAACAGGCTTTGCAGGCCTTGGTTTTATTTCAACACATTTATCTGCCTGAAAGTTTTCACACAGGGGCAGGAATCTAGGAAAAGTGACAGGCTACCTTTCCCAGGACAGTGAGCTATACCTCTAGCAGGACTGTTGTCTTTACACAAAACCAATTTGGCATCCACTGACTCATTTCTTGCACACATGCACAACATTACCCACACATGCACACACACTCACTCACAGGTGATGGTGGCTGTATCCAGGGAATTTATGCAACTCTTGAGCACACTCCTCCCTGAGGACAGTGGCTGTGGTTGGGTTCCCATCACAGCCAGGCCCATCAGAGTTCTGCAGCTGGGAGATAACAGGATAATAGGTTTGTGGGCTGCAAGGCTGCCCTGATTCCAGCACCAAATTGTATGCCCAGCAGGGCCAGAACGTGGGATGATTTGGGGTTTTTCTGCTGCCATCCCACTGCCTATTATCCTAGAGAAGCAGGTGCCTCCTAGCACCGACGCTGAGGGGAGGGGGATGAGGACTGTCCCTGGCCAGGGCCAGGAGCTGCATGCCAGGTTTTTGTTTTGTTTTTTGAGACAGGGTCTCCCTAAGTTGCTGTATTTCCCAGACTGGGCTCAAACTTGCAATCCTCTTGCTTCAGCCTACTAGAGTGCCAGGATTATAATCATGCGCCAACATGCTCAGCTAGGTCTGCTCTTTTGACTACTGTGATGCTGCCTTCTTTCCTGGACTGATGAGGAGTAGGGGTGACCGACCATGAGCTGGAGACTGCAAAGCACAGTGTCAAATCACCCTGATTCCAGGAAGTTCCCTGCAGTGCTCCCTGAGAATCCAGCATTGTGAACTCTCACGCCTGGTGACAGGGCTGACTTGCTTACTTCTCTCTATGTTATATGTACATTGTCATCTGCTACATGGCTTTGTTGCTTTTTTCTTTAACAAAACAGATACATGTGGAGAAGCAATCCCAAAGGACAACACTAGTTGCAAAGCTGAGACAAAGGCCTGGTTTGTGGGAGTGCATTGCCCTCCGGCTGCCCGGGAGGGGCAGTGAGCAGTAGCCTCCCAGCCCTGGAGATCAGGGGCTGGAGGCGCAGTGTCTTTCCAGGGTGAAGAAGTGGTGTCCATGAATTTGATGGAGTACTGTTGCCTTGGCTTCCCGTGTGTGCCTCTCCTTGCTGGTCTGCCCCACGCCCGACCTCTCTGCTTCATGCTCTGATTTCTCTTTCCTAAGGGAAAGTAGGAGCCTCAAGTTTACTCTGGGACTCTCCAGCCTCTGGAGGGCAGTGGTAAACTCCTGTCAGATGACATGCAAGAGTTGAGTGTCTTGAGTCATTGTCTTCCCCAGTAATGAGAGGGGCAGTAGGTGGGTGTGAAAGGCTACTGCAGAGAGCTTGGGACAGTTGAGTGCATCATAGAAATCCATTTGGGGGATAATGGGGACATGATGGGGAGACTGGAGGAGATAAAGGGGGAAATGCTGGAGTACCTTATTTCCAGGAAGCTACACGTTTCACAGCTCACCGTACCTCTTCCCTTAAAGCCAAGCCCAAGGGCATAGATTCTCTTTCTTTGCTTCCACTGTATGTACATGCCTTGACTATTTCTATACAATATTGACAACTAGTGTTTATTAAGACACTTTTTTTTTGGTCTTTTTCGTTTTTTTTTTTTTTTTTTCTGGTACCAGGGATCGAACTCATGACTGCCTGCTTGCAAGGCAGGCGTTTATGCCGCTGAGCTAAATCCCCAGCCCCACCACTTTTGTATCTTGAAAGCACTTCATGAACATAATTTGTATCCTGTCATGCAAGTGTTTGAACAACCTAGTTCTTGGGGTGCAAGCATTTCAACCCTTAGTTTACTGTTTGAGCAAAGTGAGGCAACAGAAATGTGGGGACACATCGGAGACTGGGGCTGGAGGGTGATGAGAGTGTGATTCATGCTCAGGTGTCCGGAGTCAAATTCCAGTGTTTCTCCCCAGCCAACGAAGGATGTCCGGTACCAGATTCATTCAGAGTCCACTCCGGTTATGGTCGGCTTTTTTGTTGCTCTCTTGCTCCTGCATCTCTGTTCACCTGCACTGTTTTCTCTCCTTTTGTCTAAGCTTGGATTTTAGTTTACTCTAGGGGGAAATGTGCAGGAAAGCCTCATGATGAGATGTTGTTAACTATGATGTGATCCTGTAGTAGGAACCCCAAGGGAGATATTGTAATGAGACCTCAGTCAATTATCCAGGTACCCTGAGCTCTCTGCATGGCCCGGTTTCTCTTGGCAAGTAAACCCCTCATTAGGAGCAGCATCCCATGACAGCACACAGAGGACAGGTGACCTCAGTTACTCAGAGCTGAGGCCACAGCCCCAGCCCTTCTGCTCCTTCCAGGGGAGTACACTGCTTTCATCATCCTGTGCTGTTTGCTGGCGGCCCGAGGGCTGTCTCCCATCAGAAGGAGCTCTACAGGACAGGGACAGGGTGTGCCCTGCTGGCTGTGACCTTCTTGGTCCACAGCATAGAGTTAGGTACTGGCCAGGGCCTCACAATCGATAGGGAATGACTCCCTGGAGGAATAAGCGAAATCTGCATGAAACCAGACTTCAATGCCATGCTTGGCAGGGTCACTTGCATTGTGGAAAATGATTCAAGCCAAGGCCACAGATTTACTTCAGTAGATTTCCACACAGGCGGGGCAGTAAGTGGCATTTGGAAGAAAGTTCGTGCCATGGAGCCCTGGCATTGCATCAGCCCCATCACTGAAACCAATCCTGGTCAGATCACAAACTATAGTATCATCTGGGCCAAGGAAAGAGCCTTCTGGAGAAACTTTGCTCCGTGATGGGTGTGAGGCAGATGTTGTGTATAAAGTCAGGATCACCCCCTTAAAGATGAGGTTCCTATGGAAAATAAAATTCAGAACCAACTACTAGTCAAGGTCAGGAGGCCAAAGTCTAAACAAACATGTCAATTGACGCTTTGGGTAAAAATTCAGGTACAGTTAGTGATCTAGTTGTTTTGTTTGTCCAACACCCCTCATTTGCATATCCTAGACTTCAGTCCTGCAAGGACCTGGGCATGAAACCAACATCAAAGCCATTGTGGCTTCTTGGGCCCAAAGTGGAGATTTATCTACAGATGAGCTGAGAGAGATGTAAAGACCAGTCTTCCACAATGTAAGCTCCAAGACAAATCTTGGTCAAGGATCGATCAAAGCTGACCCTAGTAATAATCATAACAATCTTTCTTTAATATTCAATGTTTCAAGCTCTGTGCTTTTATACCCCTTTTTGTACTGATCAACAAATTATGTCTATGATTCTGTAAAGCAGATTTTATTATTTGCTTGATTTGACAGAAAATAAGATGTGGGAAGAGAGCTTCTGAAATATCTCTAAACTTGCAAGGAGGATGGAGGATTGGAAGCTGGACAGCTTTCTCCCTGGCCCTTAGTTGGCTGTCTCAGGGTGGTGAATCCAACACGGGATGTGGCTGAGAGGCTCACTGCCTGTCTGCCTGGAGTTTCATTCTTCACATAGCAAGCCTCAGCTCTCAGGCTCAGTACAGTAACAAACACAGTTTGGCTGTGGTGTGCAACTTGGTTCTCTCCTTCCAGTTGATAAGAGTAAGCCTAGGATAGTTGGGTGGGAAATCTTATCTCCCAAATCTTTTGCTTCGTGCCAATAGTCTAGACTGAGGTATATTCCCTCTTGTCTGTATCCTGGATTTTGAAGCAATTTACTTCACTTCTGTATGCTCCTAGCATTTGGGTAGAGACCAAGCCAAGGATTCCTACAGCGTGAGGATTCGGCCACAGGAAGATGTCCAGATGGGCTCTGGCAGGCCTCGCTCCTGCCTATGCTCTTGATCTCTGCAGCAGCCTTAAATCAAACTCCAACTCACCAGCACACATCTGAAAGGATGCCCAGCACCAGCAGTTGGAAGGAACAGAAAATTGAAGGAGATTTTTCACATATCATCTTGGGGGAAATGTCTCAGTTTTACAATACCAATCACAGCAAAGATGAAGGGAAACAGGTGCTCTCATAGATTTTTGACAAAAGTGTGAATTAGAATGGCCACTTAGGGAGACAGCATGGGTGTGTAACAATGTCATTACCTTGCAAGACAGGGGTGAGACACTAACACACTCTCATAAGAATGTTTGTGGCTGCTTTCTCTCAGATTCTAAAATACTGCAGATAGCAGAAATGTAATAAATCCAACTCTGAAATGTTATACATGTTGTAAAAATGTAAATCTCTAAACCTGAGGTAAAATGATAAATTAGGCATACTGTTGATTTCAAAAATCACATAGCATTGTTTGATTGAATGCATATTGGTAAATAGAAAAACAGCCTGGAAAGGTAATATCTCAGACTAAGAGATGATGTCACCTCCGAGAAACTCTGGGGATAGGGAAATGGTCAATAGGACCATCCATCATTTATCCATTCATCAAATATTTAAATTTTAAAAAGACAAGTAAAAACCCCAAGTAGTGTTTTGTCCCTTCTATTCCAGTTACTGAAGCTGCTTTGGGAAAAAGGAAGCATGCAAATATCCTTGGGATCATGACTGCTACATGCTAGTATTATTGATATTACTAGGTGTGTTTTTGGGACAGGAATGTCACAAGCATAGTTATAAGAAAGTAAAAATGAAGGAAACAAAAATTTTCACCTTTTTATATTAACAAAATGTCAGGTATCTATTCATTTGGGTTTTGAAAGTGCTTATACAGAGCCCTAACCATAGTTGTAGTGCTGGTGACAGCCATGTAAATACTATAACTGCTCGGATGGTCCTGTTTAGATGGGTGGGAAGGGCAGGCGCAGTTAAAATCTTATATGTGTATTCACTAATCAGCACGTGGGACCGATCGGCAGCTCTATTCACTAAGATCCACATATAGGAAGCTAAATGTCAGCTGGTGATTGAAGCATAATGTATGCTGTTCACACCAAAGAATTCCACACAGTGGTGAACGTCAGTGCACTAACACTGTCTGTGACGGGCGATCTGAAAGATCCTCATCAGCAGCAATGAAGGAAGGGAGTTTAGCATGAGTGCAACACTATATAGTTCGTTTTTATGATGTTCAGTGGTAGTTCAAACTCACACAAAGTGCTGAAAGGTGGGATAGTAGTTAACCTGGGGATGGAGTGACAGTCCAGGTGCACTTTGGAGGCTTTTGGGGTGCTGGGGTTGACCTGTTCCTTGAGCTAAGTGCTGATGGCATTAATATGCTTAGTGTGTGAAACTCTTGAGTTTTCTGATTATTATTTGTGATTTTTGTGTGTATATTTTGTCTTTGTTAAAAGTTTACAAAACAAAGAAAATAAAAGCAGAAAGCCTGAAATCTAATTTACATGTTTTGAGGTTTTTTCCTGCCTCCTTGGGCTATAGTCTGACTGCCTATAAGGTGGGAAAAGGATTAGTAACTGATGGCAAAGACCCTCCAGCTCTGTGCGTTAGAGAACAAACTTTTTTTTATCCCAAAAACTCATTCTGAAGCAGTGGAGAAAATACAGAATAAGCCTTAGAATATTTGCTATTAGAATTTGTAGAAGGCTTCTAATATCACAAGTATCCCATTTTTAAGGCACTTGTTATAAGTTAAAGACCCAATCAATAAACAATGGAAGGTTCTAGGAAAAATGACATAGCTAACACTTTCCCAGAGAGTTAGTGGGCTGAGTGGGAATCTGTCCTAGACTGCTTTTGCCAGGAATCCTCGTGTCAGGGTGACCCAAATACTGTGACGGGGAGTCAGAAGTTCAGGGGGCCAGCTTGTTCTTGGTAGGAAGGAGGCAGCTACTACGCTCACGCCCAACAACTGCCATTTGAATAGGTCCTTCCTCTCGGAGGGGAAGTGGTTCGTAATTTTCCTTTTACACTCCTGGAAGTCCTTGAATGGCAATATCACAGCTTGTACCCATTCAGAACAGGAAAGTGTGACATCCGCAGACAATCTTGGCACGAGAGGAGGAAAAGCTACAGTCCAGTGTGTCAGCTTCTACATGAGAACCGAGAAGATCGTTTCTATATTGCAGCCATGAGGTAATCATCACACTTGAGGTTGGCCTGCTGCCAAGGAAGCTTTTCCAAGTCAGACGTGAGCCATGTTGGTATTTTCAGGGCAGGGACCTCAAGGAAAGCAATGCTTTAGGGCCATGAACAAATATAATTTGTTAACTTCAAGCCTAAAGATAGTTACTGGGAAAGTGAGGTGGCCTCCAGTGGTGGAAGGGGTGCTACCCTGACTACTTTGGGAAGTGGGGCCTGGTCAGAAGGGTTCAGACACACAGGGGTGCTCAGGTTAACCACAGACATTGTTTAAAGTGTTAGAAAAGCCCAGGATACCTCCTGGACAGGGCACTTGGCGAGGCTGTGTCGTAGGTAATGTCACTTATCCCCACTGTGAGCGGGGATTGTAGAACTTTTAGATCTGTTCTCATCCTCCCTGAAGCACACTTCTTGGGGGAAATAAAGAGATTAACACAATGTCCAAAGTAGGAGAAAGAATTGGGGGCAGATACCTCAAGGAGGAAGGAGACCCAAGAAAAGAGAATGTAGGATCAGGCCGCAAAGGATCTCAGAAGTTAAGCTTTTACCGGTAAGATTACTTTTGGTGATGATAGTCTGTTGTTTTTGTAAGTCTAGGATCAAAAGCTAATCAGCAAATAACCAGATTAATTGCACAGAATGAGACAGAAAGAGCTCCGCTCTTTGTGTTTAATGAATCCAGATGCTAACCAACGAAATATTCAGGACATGCAGTATTAAAGTTCTGGTTCGGGTCAACTTGGGGACACTGAGCAGGTAATGTGTCACTTCTTTCCACGCATTTCATACCCCAGAACTGCAGATGGAAAACAGATTTATGCAAAAATCTATTTTCCTTTTTTTTCTTTTGCCAAAGACCAAATATAAAAGCTTATATCCTTCAAATCACATTTAACGATTCTTGAAATCAGATTTAGAATTAGGGCAATCATAGCAAAATGCCAGGAGAGTAAATTGCAAAACAATTTATTTAAAGTTACAGGAATAATTTCTTGCTGAGAGAAGCCAACCATTCTTTTACTGTTTGGTGCTTTGGAAAAGAGACAGACTTTAAGTACAAAAGACAAAAGACTAAAATTCTGCCTGCGTTTCAGTTTCCAGTCTGAGACAGCTGTTGGGTGATATCACCCATCGTGAAAACAGCCGTGTGTGGAGGGAATTAGCAGATGAAAAGCAAGGGCTCGGGATACAGAGTGTGTAAACGTGCCTTCGCTGTCTCTTCCCATTCTCCTCATGGATAGATGCACCTAAAAGCACAGTTACACATGTGGATGTTTATACAAAGGATAAAGGGCACACGGAAGGGTTCAAGACACAAAAACCTGCAGAGGAAGCTCAACATTTCAAGATTCAGATCATGTTGCTGCCCAAACTCAGAGGGTCTCTAAGGAAACAGTTAGAAGGTTGTTTGGCTCTCAGCTCACTTCCAAGGAGTACAGTCTGCCACAGAGAAGGAAAGAAGCACCAAGAAAACGCCAATTTTTGTCACGCTAACATCTTTCTTAAGGCTGATCGTGGACTTGGTAAACATGAAGTATCTCAGTCCGGGAGTCGGTCCAGAGGGTTTACAGTTAGGCTCTGCAGAAGGACTTGGGGGAAACCTGGAAACGAGGAATGCAGACACTCACTAATGAGAGAACAGTTTGACACCAGAGCCTTGTTTGACGTGAGTGGCGAGGTCAGGAAATGAAATTCCTAAGCATGGTTTAGAACTGAGTTCACTGCAAGCAGAGACAGACGACAAGCACTGGAGAAAGGGCTGAGAGGAAACGGGCACGCAAAAGTGACCTGCTATCATCCAGAAGACCTGGCCAGGGCCCGCAGGAGATTGCTGGAACTGTCCTAATTCAAGCAAACAGCTCTCAAAAACTGGTATCCTCCTAGCCAGTGGGGTAAGTTTGCTTAGCGTTACTGCCTCTGTGCCCTACACCCTTAGAGCCCTCTTTTCTGGTTTATGATTTTCATAGAGACAGCTTCCTGCAAACTTAAATAATGAGTGTAAGCTGAGGCTCCTTTGGGAGTTGTAAAGACAATCTAAGAACAAGTCGTTTCAGAGTAGCAAACTTCCCAGCCCTTTGCAGTCGGGATAGTTTCCATTGCCTAACACTTGTGCCCCCGCAGTCTTCATTGTCTCTCTCCTATCCAATTGTGTCATTATTTAATTACCTCATTGGGAAAAATCATTGTTTAAAACTTGCATATAAACTGCAAAAGAGTCTTGAGAATCTTTTCTGGGATAATAGCCTCCTCCCTCAATTCCCAAATCTGTGATGAATTGCGCCAAAACACTCTGACAATCCCAGAGAGGGGGAAAAGGGGTAAAAATAACCAGCTGATTATCAATAGGAAGCAAATCAGCCACTTGAGAACCCAGGCGCTGCAAGGACCAATGAGAAACCAAGAGTCCTCATCAGGGGACTAGACTCTGATTAGTCCGAGTGTTGATGACCACTTTCCGTGCCTCTCCCTGCCTGCTCCGTGACAATTTACATCTGATTGGACATCATTTTGTGTTGGGGGCAGTCTTCTCAGAAAGGGTGTTTGGAAGGCTTTGAAGTACTTAATTAGAACCAGGAGGCAAGTACAGGCTGAGCAGTGACACGGAGGACGCCTTGTCTGGGCTGACAGGACATTCATTTATAGAAGCAGCCCGCATCCAGTGAGTCTGCCCCAGTTTTTCATTCCCTCACCCCATAAGGCACCCTTCCAAAGCTTTCTGGACTCCAGGAAAATAGAAACAAGAGGAGCATTCTTGGCCAAGGAAGCCACACTCAAGGCAGATTCCCAAAATTCAACATGTGGATAGATTGGACTGTTACTAAACAGCCACTAAAAATAGAGAGGATTTGGGACTTCTTTAAAGAGAGGTCATTTTTTTACTAGCCCTCCTTTGAACTAATCCATTGAGGAAGGTAGCATATATAATGAACCACAATATGGTATAAGTCATGTATTCAAAAGGAGATAAAACGGACCAATCGACCATTAGCACCCAGCTTTAAGCCACAAGAATTAAGGAAAGAGGATGGGAGGTTCTAAGGTAGGGAATCAGGATAAGATTTAGACAGAAAGGGAGATGTGATCCAGAATTTGAAGGATGAATAACAAATATCGTCATTTCAGGGTGTGAATGACTTAGACAAACAAAAATACTGATTTTTAAAAAATGAATCAGTGCAGAAGGAGTAGAACACTTCTCTTTGAGTAAATGGTTTTGAGGACAAAACTATGGAAAGATGAAACAGGACATAAGCTTTACATGTGTGAGTCTTCAATACCAGGCAGGGAATAAGATTTGACCAGGAAAGTACCAGATGAACATTAAGGGTTCTGAACAGAGTTAGGACCATTTGAGAGATCTGTTATCTTCATCTGACAAAAAGCAGCAGCCAAATAGTATTCTCCGGACTTTACTAACAGGTGAAGTCAAGAGTTAGTTTGCCATTTTGAGTCTTCCTTGATCTCTGAAGCTATTGCTGTTGTTAGCACTATAGAAAGTAAGAATGACTGCTCCCAGAATGCAAAAGACTGAGCACACTGATTGCTAAATGGATGGATGAAACTGAACTGCACAGAACCAGATCACATTTCCTGGGGTGGAAATCTGAGGTTATCTCAGCCCTCACAACAGGTTGCCATGAAGAACTGGGAAAGGACCAGGTTAGCAGTAGTGTGGGCATAAGCATGTAATTTCCCCTTCCTGGATCTGTCTGCAGTCCCCACCTGAGAAATCAGGGGTGAGTCCTATGAATGTGCAGGGAGACTTTTGTGTGTATTTTGGAGAGGGGAGATCCCCCACACAGTTAGTGCCAGATTCTCAGAGGAGTTCATTCTCTGAGACAGGATTAAGTACCTCTGGACTGGGCTGCTTGTGAGCTAAAAGAGCCTGTCATTCTGAGATTCCAAGGGTGACTCTCCTCCCCCAGTGGATAACCAGAGTATCTGACACTATTGCTCTGGCAGTTGCAGTTGTGTCACCTTGTAGGAGCCTGCAGCTGTGTCTTGGGACCGCAACAAAGAAGGAAAAGTCTTGTTTCTGTCCACCAAGGCCCAGAATTCTCAGTAACGTAAGGAGCATCACCGATCGATCAGCGTGCTGGGATGTAACTGAGCTTAAAGAAGGAAAATCACTGAAAGTCACTTTCTCCCATCAAAATGTGACTTTAACAACATGTGACCTCTGCTTCCTTTCTTTAAGTGGTTGTTGTAGTCAGGGTTCTCAAGGGAAACAATTTAATACAGGGCACATAACTTATAGGATTATTTTATAACATTTATCTAAAAAGTCAAATGCAGAGGAGTTCAGGAGACTTGTCACCTACTTCAGACCCAAAGAATCCCAGCTGAAGACCAAGGACCCATAGCAATGTCCTCCACAAGTCCAGCTGGGGGCCTAGAGACCACGACAATGTCTCATGCAAGTCTGTAGCAAGGATCTGCACTGGGAAGGCCCAAAGGTCAGTGGTGGAAGCTAAGAAGTCTGCACCAGCGAGGTCAAGATCTGTACCTGGAGGCCGAGGGTTCTGTGCTTGGAGCCAGGAAGTGATGTCCAAGGTAAGGACCAGAGCTCCCCCAAAGAGAACCGCAGTTATCCTCAGGGACAGTGAGAACCTGAGCTCCTATGACAATAACAGCTGAGTTCATGTCAAGAAAGCCAATGAGACAAGCTTCCCCAGGAGGATCAATAGACACCACCTTCCCCTCCAGCTCTGCTTCTAAGCTGCTGGCAGCAATCCTCAGGTGGGCCTTCCACACCCAGCACCGGCTGATGCAGCCCAGCTGGGTGTTACAAGATGACCTTTAGTTAATCCACTACAGTGGGCATGTTCACAGTGGCTTCTGTCACATGGCTATTATAAAGAATAACTAGTTGATGACAGAAGAAACATCTGGGAAGATGATTCACTTCTGCTTTTAAGGCCATTCTTCTCAACAAAATGCAGTGTGCTTATTGAATGGACACACTCAGTAGTCACTCTGATTTTGGGACTTAAATATGATGTGATGCAGGCCAGTTAGTGTGAGTTATTGAAGAAAATCCTATTGTTCTCCCAAGTCTTGTCCACATAAGACTCCCAAAGAAAGCTAGCCCTGACAATTTACAACGAGACAAGATGCTTGTTAATGATTTTTGGCCTAATGTAATACTAGGCAGAGATTTAAAAGATAAAATACTTCACTATAATAAAGACAATTCAAGAAAAAACTTAAGGTTTCATTGAAATAAAGTGTGTTTTTTAGATTGATTTTCATAAATTTAACTTTTCCCCTTATTTATCCCTAAAAGGAGTGCATTGCACCAAGTTGATTCATCCCATTCAAATAGAGCACATATTATATTTTAAAGTAATACTAATGAACTGAAAATATCATTTTAAGACACTTACAGAAAGAAAAATACACAGGAAAGAATAGATACTTCTTGGTGAGAAAAAGTTTTGCCTATAAATGTCAGTAAATTTGTTTTCTTTTTCCTAATAGGAATTGTCATGCTTGATTCAATACCTGATTAGCACCATCAAAAGAAATAAACCCATCTAAATCCACGGTTAAAATAACAGCAATGAAACTTATTATAATTACTTCTTCCCCTTCCTAATTTCTTCTAAGGAGCAATCATGCCCCTTGCTCTCCCCACTGCAGCACATTAAATTCAGAGATAATTTCTCCCAAGAAAAGGTTTAAAACTTCACCTTATCTCACTTATGAAGTTTTAGAGAGAATACTGTCAAAGAAGTCGAGATGGCTCTGGGCACACTTAACTGTTCTAGGCTTGTCCATATCTTCCAGTTTTATCTTGTTAGCACTAAGCAGAAACTTTTCTTTTTCCACTGGCAAAAAACAAAAGTACCCAGCACCGCTGCACTGCACCTCCTGCTGAGTATTGCGATGCTTTTGAACATAGTAACAGCTTCTATTGGCTTGGAATAAAAACAAGATGGAAACTAGGGGTTACCTGAGCCCAGTACCATGGCTTAACATGTTGGAGTTGATCAGTAACAAAATGTCCAGCTCAGTCTCCCACAGTTATGGAGCAGTAGGAAGTTGTTTATGCTGACAGCTATCCCAAGGTGCAAAGGATTCTCTGGTACATGCTGCTGAGTCCTGCTGTGGGATGTCGCAAATTACTTAATCCACTCCCACATCATTGTATATCTTTTGAGGAGAGCTAACTTGCTCTTGTGATAGTATTGCTTTATTATTGAAAAGACAACTACCAAATATAACAACCTCCCTCCTCCACACTTTTCCGAAACCAAACAACCTGAGTCTTCTGTGGCAGACTCTATACTCACCCTGGGTCAGATTTGCTCATAGCAAGCACCAAGAGGAAATGTGGAAAGGTATGAAGGATCTAAACTAAGAACTACACTTATAACACACACACACACACACACACACACACACACACACACACACACCGTGTGTAATAAGGCATACTTGTAATTCCAGATACTTAGGAGGCTGAGGCAGAAGAATTCAAGTTTGAGGTCATCTTCAAAGGGCTGGGGATGCAGCTGAGTGGTAGAGTACTTGACTAGGATGCTCAGTGTCCTGGGTTAAATCCCTAGTACTGTAACCAACAAAAAAAAAAAAAAAAAAAAAAAAAAACCCACAGGGAGCATTTAGGACACACCGTGGTGCCCACAAACTCTTGAACTATCACACGCTTACTTCATGGTAGGATTTAAAGCCCATGCAGTGGTTAAAACAGCTTACAGCAAAGCTGGAATTTGGCAGTGACTGCTCAGCATTTGCAACACATGCACAGTTTTCTCTGTACTCTGCACACCTGCCTCTCTCTACTTGTAGAGCTGAGTCCTCCCTGAAGAGGCATTACCTGGTGCCTTGGGGTGCCTGCAAGGGGCTGGAGAGGGTTCCATGGGCTTTCAAACTTCTCTTCTGGATTTTGAGACCTGGGCTAAACCCTGACTTCCTGTACTCCCTCTTCACTCCTCATTCTTCTGCCCTCCTAGGAGACGGCATTCTGCATCTCACGCACGGGGAGCCCAAGCTCCAGTGAGCCAGCCAGGCACTGTCAGTGCTCCGCCCAGACTCTGTCCCCTGACCAGAAGACTTAAGAATGTTCTCTCAGGTGCCAGACAGACCGCACCTCTGCAAATCGCTGTGAGATGCCCATACAGTGACTAAGACTGCAGAGACTTCAGGATTCACGATGATGCATCTGTATTGCTGTGTGTGTAAGACAGACAAACGTGGGAGAAGAAATAGTGGGTTTTAGTCTCAGCTCTGTTATATTTCTCTGGCTTCAGGAAGTTACTGTTCCTGTCTCTCATTCCCTCGTCTGTCAAACAAGTGTGGGTGAATGAGGAAACAGAGAGGTTCAAGTGTACACGGTCCTGGTGCAGAGGTCTCTAATGTGTTTACACCATCGCCTAGCAGAATTCCACAGCTTGTACTCTCCTTTTCAAGATCCTTCCTGTCTATCCTACCTTAAATCTTTGATCTCCAGCATTCCACGCCAAACCTATGCTTCTCCAGTCCTGCTTTCTCCCTGGGTGGTCTCACACATTTCTAGCTCTTGTTCCACACTTATTTTGTCTGATATTCCTGTACCTACTCCAGCTTGCTTTGGGTTGCTATTTGCTTGGTTTATCCTTTTCCATACTTTTGCTTTCAATCTATTTATATCCTTAAATCTGTAGAGAGCACACAGTTAGATCTGTTTCACTTTGTAATCATCTGATAACCTTTGCACTTGACTAGATCATGTGATTATATGCAGCAGTATTATTGATATTGTTGGATCTACCACTTTGCTTTTGTATCTCAAATTTGCTTTAAATTGATTCTGCTTTCTTTCACATTTAACAGACATTTTCTAGCATAATCTAATTTGCTTAGTAGTTTATCATTGTATTTTAAAAATTGTTGTCTTAGTGGTTGCTGTCAGGCTTATAATATACATCTAACTTTATCAAAATCTAATTTCACGTATATGCTAACTTAATTCTACTGCAAAGCAGAAACTTTGCTTCTGTTCTATAACTCCCTTCTCTCTATATTTTATAGCCCTATTGTCCTATGCATTAGAATTACATATGTTATAAATTTACCCATATATTGCAATAATTACTACTTTGCATGCATTTGCACACCTGTGCATTCACACACACATGTATATTTTACAAAGCCAAGGAGAAGGTCAGCTGATCCACAGAGCTCACTGTTGATTTTCTTGTGCCCTTCCTGATTTACTCCTTTCTTGTGTGGGTTCCAGTCCTCATCTGGCACATTTCTCTCTCCCACCACAGTCCGTGTCATACCTCCCAGGCCTCTGTTTGCAAAACCACCTTTCCTTACATGGTGAGCTTGGCAGTACAAGTTGATGGGCATTGTTTTACACATACATTTCTTTTCAAATCAGTTAATAGAAGAAAGATGGAGAAATATGCAATTACCTTGGTTTTTAATCATTTTTTTCTGAGCTGAAAGTCATCTAATGTATAATTAAACATACTAATGTGTAGAATTCAGTGCCATTGATTGCCAAAAGCCACTTTTAGTTTTAAAACACTCTCACAGCCCCAGAAACACACTCCAAACCTGGAAGCAGTTCCCACATCCCTTCCCTGTTCCCTGGCAACCACTCGTCTACTCCAGTCTCTTCAGAATTATTTCCTCTGGACATAAAAAGAATCTTGTAATATGTGACCTTTGCGATAGCTTTTTCTGCTTAGCATATTTTTGGGGTTCAGTTTTATTTTAGTACCTATCTGCACCCTATTCTTTTTAACAGCTGACCAATACCTCACTGACTAGATAGCAGAATGTTTATCTATTCATATGTTGGAGGACATCAGAGTCACACTTAGGTCTTCATCTGGGCTGACTACTGTGGCTGTAAGCATGCTGTACAGGTTTCTGTGCCTGACAAATGTTTCCATGCCTTTCGGAGGCGCACCGAGGAGCTGAGTTGCTGGCTCACCTGGTAATTCCATCCCTTCCAGGACCCACCACTCCTTTGGCACAGTAACCAAACAGTTCTGGCCTTTCACTGGCATAAGACAAAAGCTCTTACTTCCTCACCTCTCGGCCACCATGTGCACTCTTGCGGCCATCCTGGTGAACACAAGTGGGTGTCTCACTTGGCACTTATTTACTTCTTTAATGACTAATGACATCAAATGGCATTTCTCTTTAGAGAAATAGCTATTTAAGTACTTTGCCCACGTTTTAAATTGAGTTGCTAGGGTTCTTTATGTGTTCTGAATAGTAAAGAGACCCTTACTAGAACTACAATGTGCGAATGACCACTTCCATTTGTGAATTTCCTTTCCACTTTCAGGCCAGGAGATTCAAGAGCTCTTTCTGCTCTCTCTCCAACACTCACTGATGTAGCAATCATGCTCCACAGCCCCTAACCCCTGAGCCTTTCATCGGGACCCCAGACTTCATTTGAGGCCAACTACTGTACTTGCCACCAAGCTGCTGTGGCTTTTCTTCCCCAAAAGATGTTCTTTATCTCAGTAAGTGGAACTGCACCATGGACCTAGTTCATCGTGTCAGAAACCTGACATCCACCTGACAGCCTCCCACTGACACAGCACAGCAACCCCATGGCGTCTCCCTCGGTCAGAGGCCTGGCAGGCTAAACCTCCCCCTGGCCCACCTCACCACTGTGGGCTCTTGGCTTTCTTTCCTGCACTCCGCCTCTCTGAGCTGCATATGCTTTCAGAGGCACCATTTGTTACACAGGTGTTTTGCCTGGCACAGCTCTGACCCAGCTGGGTGAGTTGCTCTGCACCTCACCTCTTTTTTTTTTTGTCTTTTTCCTTTTTATCGGTACCAGGGATCGAACTCACGACTGCCTGCTTGCAAGGCAGGCGCTCATGCCGCTGAGCTAAATCCCCAGCCCTGCACCTCACCTCTTACCTGGAGGCCTAGGTTGCACCCCTGGCAAGATTGTATTGTCCTGCTTGCAAGGTGCTTTCCTCCACCTCAGATTCTCCCTCTCCTTCTCCCTTTGCAAGGCCCACCTTTGCTTTCTTTTTGTTTTATGTTAAAGTTCACCTTTGGTCACTTTTTCTCTGACCTTCTGTGCTGCTTCAGCTCATTCCTTTCCTTCACAGTTCTTGTGAAGTTTTTGACATGATTTTTAATGCAGCTGTTTAATGAGCTACTGTCTGCTGCTTCCACTGTACAGTAAACTTTGAGGCCACAGGGAGCACAGTTTTTAAAAAATTCATCATTCTGATAAACGCCTAGAAGTAATGATAATAACTCTTACCTGTCAAGCACTAGGTATATTCCAGAAACATAAAGAATATACACTGCATATTATATACACATATACATATACATACATATAACACATACATACAATATACTTGATGTTAGGGTTCTATAGAGGAAAAGATCAATTGAATATACATGCAAAATTACACAAAGGGACTTCTAGGCAAGTTCAAATGATCAAAGCAGTAGAGTCCATCGTGGCTGTGTATGTGCTGGAGAGTCAGAGGTTAGAGGACCCAGGATCTCAGCTCAAGAGGATGGAAGCTGAGAAGCAGCAGCAGCATGGATATAGCACCAGTCTAAGATCAGAGACCTGAAGTTCCTTGGAAGGTCACAATCCCAGTCTGTACTGAAGCCTGAAGAAACCAGAGATGTGGAGATAATTTCCAAAGGCTACAGCAGCAAAGGATGGACCAGCAGCAAAAGATCATTCTGGAAGGTGTGGACCACACAGGAGGACAGGAGCACTTCTTTCTTCTTTCCCTTTTAATTGCATTCAGGCTACTGGTTGTGCCACGTACCTTGGGATGGGTCTTCCCCCCTCAATTTGCTGGCGTACCTGTCAGTCTTCTATAGGCACACCCAGAACTGTGCTCCACTAACCTGCTAGGCACTTCTCAATCTATTCAAGCTGACATATGATTAACAGTCACAGATGCATGCATATAATACATGTACACATACATATTCATATATGTACACACTCAAAGGCACACATCATTCATCCATGCAACAACTGCATGAACTACATGATTTTATTTTAGCTGTACAGCTGTCTAAATTAAAGCACAGTGACATGCTTTGTTCATGGTCAGTAAGCTCCACTTGATTAGATGTGTGCTGGATGAAGACACTACAAAAAGTGGTGAGATTTTTTTTCCACCACAGACTATTTTGGGATGAGTCTCATAGCATCATGCCTTTCACTTGGTGCAGTAAAGAGAACAAAGTAGGTATTCAGTTAGGGTTTGCAGAATGAATGAGCCAGGATGAAACCAGATGAAGAACCCATTGCACAAAAAGCAGTGCTGGCCAGCAGAGGCTTCTGAGTTGATGGGAGGGTTCTGCCACTGAGCTCCACCCTGGACAGTCATCACTGGTCACCTGTGTGTGGTTGCCAAGTGCTTCAGACATGGCCAGTGTATCTCAGGAACCAGGTTCTACATCTCTTTCATTTTAAATATCTTAAATTTAAATGGCTGTCTCATTACTGACAGCCACAGTACCAGCCTAAGACTTGAAATGGTATCACTTTGGGTGCTTCGAAGTTTACAGAGTTTTGAGGAAACCCAAAGACAGAAGACAAAACCTGAATTTCCCTTTCATTCCTTTTTGCCATGGTGCTCTCAGGTCTCAGGTTCTCAGGCATCAGCCGCCCTCCTACCTTCCTTCACTGTAGCTTGTTGCAGCAAACGTCCTTCCTCAGATGTGCCTCTGCTTCCCCACCCATTCAGAAGCACCCTACGAGGTCCCCCAAAAGTATTTAAGTGGCCAGTAAACACTCAGTGTCTAACTCAAATGCAGCCCTCAGGCCCTGGGGGTGGGGACAGAGAATTGGATAGAATGACATGGGAGCAGTCATACTCATCAAGGGAGCAGTGCGGTGGGCAGGCTGAGAATCTGGTTTGCAGCGAGGGTTCTGATCAGGGCTTCAGCAGGGCCCGCTCTCCAGAAATTTCTGTGAAACAGCACTGGTCCCATGTGTGCACCTGGACAGGGTGGTTCAGTGGATGGAGTCACTCTTGCTTCCTACACTGAACCCTTATGAATAAGGGAAGGTAAATGACAGTCTGTATGGAGAACACTTGTATTTTCTCCTGGAAAAATAATCAAACAAATAGTAGATAAAAATCAAAGAAAGAAAGAAAGAAAAAGAAAGAAAAAACGAAAGAAAGAAAGAAAATCAAAGAAAAAGAAGCAGAAGTGGTGTGCAGGACTCCTCCAGCGCATGGGCAGTTACTTCTCCTAGTCTCAACCATGTCCACAGTTGGGTGAGGGAAAAAACATTTCTTTCCTCCCACCATTGGCATACTTAGAATCTCCCTTACAGTGTATGTAGGTTAGAGCAAAAAGATGCTGCTTTGTTTGATTTTGCTTTTTCTGTGGAATCCATTACAAAGTAATGTACTCTTGTATGTCAAAGGCCAGAAAAGCTCCCCTTTTCTCTTCTAAAAGCTTTGGGGATAAGTCAAATATTGTATTTATTCCACTCAGTTCCGTTTGATAATTAGATGTGTGCTGGCTATACATACTATGAAAGAGCAGTGGATCTTTTCACTACAAAAAGCTTTCTATTTTAGGATGGGTCTCACAGTATCACATCCCTACAAGTGAAGTTTTCACTCAGTTACCCAAATGTCTCTCTATAAACAGGAAGCACTTAGGCTAACCAATGACAGTTATCAGTGCATGGGTGGAGTGACCATGTCTTTGGCTTTCTCAGATTTACTGGCAAATTTCAATAAAATCAGTTCATTATATGCAAATTCAAATGAAGATTTTATTTCTATGCCTCTTTAAGACTTTGCTTGTAAGTTGTATCACAGATCAGAAAAGAAAACAATTCCCAAGAGAACTAGAACGTCTCCCCATCTCTGGATGGATGGGACAGTCTTCTAAGATACTAACTTCCTGCATGTGATCAGCTCCGTATATTGTGCCTGAGAGTACTATGTTTATGAATTGGACTATAAAGAAAGAGCTCCCCAGTGAGTCTTTAAACTCATTGGTCATGCAAACAGTCCTGGTGTGTGACAAGTATTTTCAGCCTTTGGATATATTCTCTACTTCTCAGTCCTACTGCCACAGAAGAAATCATAATGCCAGTGAGTTGTAGATCAAATCCTGCCACATATACACAGATATTCCATGGCGAAGCCTGGAAAATGCTAACAGATAATGCTCTCCTGAGCTCAGGAGAGCCCCACAAGTTTGGAGGCTCACACAAGCCTTTTTACTCAGCCTCGACCAGATCTGGTGGTGGCAGCAGCTGCCTGTATTGAGTAACAGAGGACTCCATCAAGTAGGGTACTAGACCCCATTACCAAAGGATTAGAGGCTTGCATTCCCAAACTTATACCTCATTTATGGGATGGATGATTTTGACCCACAACATATTTGAGCACTACTCATGGTACCAATAATAACACATTTCTAATCACCCTTTTGCAAATTAGCAAAACCTATGAAATCCATCCCGATAGTGACTTTCCAAAGTTTTGCGTAACTGGCTCCAGGTCCGATTCATGCTGAAGGTCCTCCACTTGCTGTCTAAATCTACTGCCAAGCTGGGCTGACAGTGGTTTACACATTCATGTGCCCTCGTACAAGCAGTACCTTGTTTATGTTGAATGCTAGCTAAAGTTAATCACCACCTGATCCTGTAACATAGGCTCTGTAAAGTTGGAAATCTTGGGAATTCAAAGAACTCATAAACACGCTAAAGGCTCTGACAAATCCAGTAAAAAAGGTAACTGACTAAATCCAAAGGATTTAGGCTTATTTGGCTTTGAGAACCTCGGGATACATGCATCTGAGGAAAATAATGATTCTGTATCTAAAAAGTAACCTGCTAATCTAATGTTTTCAAAACATGTTTGCAAAACAATGTTTTCAAAAGTGGATTCTGAATAAAAACTTATATTAGATATCATATCAGATCTAGCCAAGTCTTTGCATCTGAATAAACAGAAATTCTGCTTTATAAATCATTCTCTTGTAAGTTTAATGTGCATGAATCTGGCCTCAGGAATCTAACATCTTCTCTCCAACATTATGAAATTAAGATTTGTAGAACACTGAAATTCACGGATCTTAGCAACCCTTCGTCAAGAGTATAGGGTCATATTTATAAGGAATATGTCATAATGAGAAAAGAGCATTGACTATTCAATTTTCTCCTGTATAATACCCAACAGAGGTATTTCTACCATCCTTTTTAAGACACGAAACAGATTTGGAAAGATGTTATGGACTATTGTGAATATTTAAACTTGGAAAATTACTATAATAAAAGGTACGGTGCCATGAATTTCTCTGAAAATTCCCCCTCACTTGGGATACACTCACCTTGTTTTTCTGTCCAATTTCTGAAGCAGTTGTTGAATTCCTCTTTCGTGAGCAATTTTAGTTGTGTTTTTGGCTCTCAGTTGTAAGGCAATTGGCTGCCTCAATTTCCCAAATTGATTCAAAGCATTGACCTTTCATGGTCATTCCAACTTGGAGGTGTACACAGTACCAGGCACAGAGAATGAGGACTCACTGTAATGTTCATATTGGACAGAAATTGCTGTAAACATTTGCTTAATGACAGATAATCTCAAAATAATGGTGATAAAATATGGTAATACTTAAAATATTCATTACAGTAAAAGATGCATTGCCACTAATTGACCTCAACTGCCACATATACACACTTTGAACATATTAATCCCATCATTCTTGGCTTTTATTGTAATGTATTTTTAAAAATTTAAACACCACTGCATCTTTCATCACTCGTCATAAACAAGTTTCTAATATCACTGAGAAACTCAGTCGCAGAGGTGGGATTAAAACACAGGGCAGTCAGATGTGGAGGTGTGTGCTCTTTACTGTACCTTTGGGGTGCAGACGCCGTGCCTGTGGCCCCCACAGGAATTCAACATCCCTCCAAGCCCCTCCCAGGGCCAGCTTCATGGATGTACAACATGGCCCTGTGCACAGCGGCTTGTTCTGCTCTTGCAGTCTTAAAATTCTTAGCAATCGTTGGACAAGAAGCCCTACATTTTACATGTGTCACGCTCAGTGGTGCAGGTAGCTTGTCAGCCCTACCTGACAAGGCAATAGTGGAGGTACCGAGAATCCAGCCAGGATGGCCATCTGGTACAAAGGATGGTGCTGGCAAAGGAGTTTAAACATGTTCAAATCTAGGTTATGAAAAAAGACTCTGCTCTTTTCCCACTGCCACAAGAACAGGAAACCTGCCGATTTCCTTGGAGAGATTCTGAAACTCATGTGCCATGGCGGCATTTCCCAGCTCCAGGGTACCAATTCCCCTGGAAGCACTCTCCAGGGAACTAACCAGCTGTGTGATTTGGCTGTTTGACAAATAGCCATATTAGTGTGCTCTGGGATGCATCGCCCTTCACCCTGCGGCTCCGCTTAGGCTAAAATCGCCCAACACATCCACATTGCCTTCCTAATGCGACCCGTGCCATGCCAGTGGATGATTCTCATTTGCAGACTCGTGTAGGATTAGTCATCTAAAGCATTTTACAGATTGAACTCCCACCACCATTCTGGGCATGTTAACTCTGGTAGCTAAGAGGAACTGCGGGTTGCTCAGTAGGTGCTGGAGACACTCAGGGGGTGGCAGAACGGTGTCCCCACGCTGCCCATGATGCCCCGGCAGTGGCCCTGCTAGCTTCCCACAGCTACAGCACATACTTCTGCCCACAGTGAAGACAGGCTTGCAGGACATAAGTCATATGCTTTAAGGAGTCTGAGGGGGCAAATGAAGTCAGTGTGACAGAAAGAAGCCTCCAGGTACCATTCCATCACATGAGGAAAGACCTCACTGAGGGTCATATGCCCAAGGAAAAAGAATCATTTTGTTTTGTTTCATTTTTGTCCTTTTGAGAGGTAGTCTCACTCTGCAGTTCAGCCTGGCCTTGAGTTCACTTTGTAGCCCAGGCTGGTCTCGAACTCACAATGATTCTCCTGCCTCAGCCTCCTGAGTTCTGGGATTACAGGCACATGCCACCACACCCAGCTAGGATGAAATCACAATCAAAGGTGCATGTCACTTGTAGGTCAGATGGCAGCACTGTGGCAGATGGCTCAGCTAGGGAAAGCATGTCAGGGAGAAGTGAAGCGTAGCAGAGCCCACTGCAGGGCAGGATGTCAGGTCACACTCTACAGACTCTGTTGGGGGTAATCCAGGCCAGGGGGTTCAGTGATACTTGCTGGCCTCTGACTCATGGGAAGAGGAGGAAAATGACCCAGGCCCAACCAGAGGGAATTTCCAGAACTTTTGCTGAGCTCCATCTGTGAGTACCTTTCTTTGGTGCGGGTGCCCAGGTCTGCGGGGACATTTTGAGGGAGTCTTGAGAAGGAGCTGGCACAGTGGAAGGAGGGAGACAGTGAGGAGGGCCACTTGGCTTGGTCACCACTTAAGCATCTGTGTTCATCCAGCCATGAAACCTTAGATTTTCCAGTTTCAAGTCCTATAAATTTCCCTTTGGCGTAAGCCAGTTTGAAGCTAGTTTCTGTCGTTTACAACTGAAAAAAAAAATCTGAGATAAAGGGGAAGTCACATCTCCTGACACCACATGGTGTTTTGCTCCACACACTGAGAAGCTTCCATGAGTCTGCACTTGTCAGCGGTACAGATCTCCCCAAGCACTGCTCCTACTTCCCACGACTCAGCTCACCTGCTCGAAGAACTTCATAGACAAGGAAGCAAGATGTTTGGGAGTCAGAGCTACTCAGAAACCTGGACACCCAAACAAAGCATACTCCCTGATAGAAATGACTTCACACTCTCAGATTCCAGCTCTGGGGGCTGGCATTTCAAATGTACATCGCTTCATTGGGTAACCAAGGTAAAACTACCCTGTCTTTTTCCCTGGCTAAAGACCAGAACACAGTGCTCAGGAGGCTTTGCACAAATTCTCTGCAGCAGACCTGCAGGAGGGGCAGTCACTACCTGGACCCTGCAGAGGGAACCTCACAGGAGAAACAGCCCCGTATCCCTCCTGCTGCCTTGAGTGCCCAAGTGTCACCTCCCTCAGCAACTTCGCTGCTTGGTATCTCACTAACCATGCAAACCTGCAGGAGTGACATCCTAGGCCTTGGGAAGATTCTCTTGGAAGCTGTGCAAAGCTAGATTTGTCCCCTCCAATCCTGTGGTCTAAACACAATCAGCAAGTCGGCGTTGATCCACCTGCAATTCTTATGGATTCATACGCATTTAAGGGTCTCCCAGCAGTGGCTTGGGATGTGGCTGATGCTATCATTACCTTGATTTTGTAATCCACGTAGCTATTGCTAGATTTAGTGCTCACTCTGTACAAAGGGCTGTGTTAAACATTTTGCATTTACCAGGTGAGCATTCATAGGACACCGTGGCACAGTATCTCTCGATGTCTTAGTGAGGAACTCCTTAGTGCTCTCCTTTGATCAACACAGCTGAGACACTGTGTTAAGCAAACTTCCAAAGATCATATGAGGATCACTTGCCCAGTAAATGTTGGATACAGGGCTGAATCCTAAGGCCATCTCCTCTACTTTCCACAGACTGTGTTCTTACTTTATACTGCATTTAGCCCCTTACAAGAACTTTGACATTCTTGGGGAACTTCAGTTTTTATTTTTATAACTCGAGAATGTTTAGTGAGAAAATTTGAAAATAATCGATAGGCACAGCATAGTAGGAACACACAAAACAATACTGACTTGATGGCCTTTAGAATGGACAGAAGATTGAGGGGACATGGTCGCTGGC